CCCCGACCCAGATCCGCCCAGCGCCGCCGCCCCGGGCGGCGGCCCACCCATGGGCCTGACCGAGTACCAGTCTCCGACCTTCCACTCGACTGGAAACCCCTGTCTCGACTTCTTCTTCCACGTCGTCCCCGACACGCCGCCGGAGACCCTCACCCGCCGCCTTCATCTCGCCTGGGAGCACGACCCGCTCAAGGCCCTCAAGCTCATCTGCAATTTACGAGGCACGAAAGGCACCGGCAAAGCCGACGAGGAAGGCGGCTACCGGGCCGCCCTCTGGCTCCACGAGAACCACCCCATGACCCTCGCCCTCAATTTGGACAAATTCGCTGGGTTAGGGTCCTCCAAGGATCTGCCCGAGATCCTCTGCGGGATTCTCCAAGGCCCCGACGCACGGGCGGTGTCTCAACAGGATCGGGACCGCACAAAACAGATGAGATTCGCTAAAATGCGCCGCATCAGTTATAACCGATACAGGGGCACACCAATGGACGAAGACGATGACGACAACTCGAATGACTGCTCGGATGAAGATGAGCCCATGCCCAAGCCCAAGCCCAAGCCCGATTCCAAATCCGAGCCCACGGGAAAAAACGAGCCAGAAGCAGACAAGAAGAAAAGGCGTCTGATGTGGAAGGCGAAGAAGCTCGAGTGGGCCAAACAGAGAAAAGAGGCCAAGAGGATCAAGTGGGCTAGAAGGGCTGTAGAACGGTTCAACACCGATCCCAACTTCAAATTCCTCCACGATCGTGTGTCCGATTATTTCGCCCATCATCTACGATCCGACCTGGAGATGCTGAGGCGAGGGGAGATCTCGCGAATCAGCCAAACCGCGAAGTGGTGCCCGTCTCTCGACTCGTCTCACGACAAGGTTACCCTCCTCTGCGAGATGATTGCAAAACGGGTTTTCCCGAGAGACGAGTGCCCGGAATACGAAGGAGTCGAGGAGCCACACTATGCCTACCGGGTGAGGGACCGTCTGCGAAAAGAGGTGCTCGGCCCACTTCGTAGAGCCCTTGATCTACCCGAGCTGCACATCGGGGCCAATGATTGGGGCTCCATCGATTACGAGCTTTTGGGAGCCGACGAGACGAGGCTGCTCGAGCGGCTATTCTTGAAGCACGATAAGGAGAGGTTCTGCAAGTACCTCGTGAAATTGCGGAAAGGCGAGACGAAGATTGGTGGTGCAGGGGATTTGTTCCCTCACAAGATTCTAGCCCCCGGCGGCTGCCAGGTGGCGGAGTTTCAGTGGTCGGGGATGGTTGATGACATGGCGGAGAAGGGGAAGCTGAGAAACTGTTTGGCAATCTGCGATGTTTCGAGTATGGATGAGGAGTCGGTGAAGGCGGCGGCCGCGCTCGGGCTCTTGGTGTCGGAATTGAGCGACGAGCCGTGGAAAGGGAAGATGATCACATTTGCCGATAATCCTGAGCTTCGATCGGTGGACGGGCTCAGTAGTATAAAGAAGAAGGCGAGGTTCGTCAAGGGACTAATGACCTGGGGTGAAAAGGACCTGCAGAAGGTTTTCGATCTGCTGCTGAAGGTGGCTGTGGACGGTGGATTGACGCCGGAGAAGATGATAAAGCGGCTGTTTGTGTTTAGCGACATGGAATTTAGCAAGGAGTCGGAGAATGAGATGGAGACTGATGACGAGGCGATTGTGAGGAAGGAGAATGAGATGGAGATTGTGAGGAAGGAGAATGAGATGGAGACTGATTACGAGGCCATTGTGAGGAAGTTTGGGGAGAAAGGGTATGGGAATTGTGTGCCGGAGATTGTGTTTTGGAATGTAAGGGAATCGAAGGCGACGCCGGTGGTGGCGGGTCAGGCGGGGGTGGCGCTGGTGAGCGGGCATTCGAGGAATTTGATGAAGATGTTTGTTGGGGAAAGTGGGGTTAGTGGGGAAATGAATCCGGTGGCGGTTATGGATTTGGCGATTGCAGGGGAGGAGTATGAAGGCTTGGTTGTGCATGATTGAGTTTTTGGTTTTGAGTTTTTAGGATAATGAACGATGTTTTCAGTAATATTAGACTATAATAAATGGGATTATTAGTGCAAATAATTTTTTTGTTACTAATCATATTCTTTTTTTTCAACTCAACAATTTTCAATCTTATCCACATAATAAAAATATATAAATTAGTTTTTAATATATATTTTTCGAAAAGAATTCAAGATTCAACCAAATTGGTTAGAATTTGTGCCCGCACTTGGTTTTATGTGGGTGTGGTTTATTTGTGGGACTAATTAGTTGAATCGATGTTAAATATTGTTAAATAATATATTTTAATATATATAAGTTAAATATAAACTTCTTATACAAAATCATCATTAATTAAATATCTGGATAATTTGATATGGATATTATAATTTATACACATGCGATATGAAATATTGAAATACTTTAAAACTGTTTAAAAATATTGACAAGCCTGATCAACCAATATTTGGGTGGGTTTTGATCAATCAATATTTTGATCGTTTTAATAATGTATCATTTTTATCTTATATCGTATTTTCAAATAACATATCTATTATCTTTCTCTTATATAGTCTATTTTCGATCTTCTGCTTTCATAGGAAATAAATGAGAATAGACTGGGAAAGAATATTTTTACCTGGAAAAAAAAATCAAAATTTTTGCATAAGTGTTTTACAAATTATAATACACATATTTTTAAGAATTTAATATTTTTATAATAATTAAAAAAATTAATTTAGTACAGGCCAAAAATAAAAATCTTCTATAATCAAGAGATTTTTCTAACTTGGATCCTAAAGCTTTATAGCTTATTTGGCATACTATCCAATGTTAATATATTTTACAATAACTTCATTATGGAAAGGCAACAAAATAAAAAATAATGATTACAAAATAATCATGGTTAATAATATTACAAATAAACCACATATTGAAATTTTAAAGAGTGGTTATATACTTAAATTTTATTGACATACTATCCACTGTAAATATTTTTTGCAATAACTTCACTTTGTTTCTAAAAATGCAATTGACCTATAGGAAAGTTAAATAGCAACAACTATTTTGAATTTCTAAGATCGGAGTTAGTTTGAAAGTGGTACGTGACGGGTGGAAAATTAGACTTTGACCAAATTATAGAACCAATTTAAAATTTTTGTCCGTAGGACATGTATATCCACATTAGATTTTTTAATTCTAATTAATAATAATTGGTCGGACACGTAAGCACAAATGATTGGTTTCTGACTTTGATATATCGTTTTGCAAAGAAATCAATGGTCATGATATTCTCCGTCAAAGTTCAAAAATCATAATTATGTTTAAACAATTTGGTAAAAGATCGTGATATAACCACTATTTGAGTTATAAGGATAATATTGAGCTCTTCCTATATGAGATTGTTAATTAGTTATGTGTCAACTAGGACAAATTTTCAATGAGTCAGTGTACAATATTATCTAACCACTTAAAATTAATTTTTTTACTTACGACTAGTTTTACATTGCAATATTGAGAATTTGGAACATAACGGACTTGAAAATTTATTATTGTGACAAGAATGAAAATTTAGTATACCGGTATCCAACTATGTTATAATTTATATCACCATCACTTGTATTAAGAATTATTGATTATTTCACAAACTAATTTCTTACCCACCAACATCCAATTTCATCCATAAATTATAAGCACTATTGACATTTCACAAACTAGAATTTTATCCAACAATATCCAATTTCATTCATTAATGACTTTTGATTTTTTTATTTTTTTTTTTTGAAAGCAAGCTCGAGTATATTGAGAATTACAGGCTTTGGCTACAATTAGCATGTCAATATCAATTGCGGAGCAAGNAGAAATATCGGGTTTCGGATATTTATAAACCCTTTTGCTTGACCTCCAAGTAAAACCCCTCCCCCTTAATATCGCTTCCCCTGAATCTCGTCTTCCTCATTTTCGAATCCCATACCATCTTTCAGTTACAGAGCCTCCTCTCAACCAAGGCCATGGCTTCCAAATGCTTCACAATCACAACCCTCCACACCGCCGTCAATTTCCCCCAATTCTGCCATGTCAAACCCCGCTACTTGTCCGCCATTGCCGCCTCATCGGCGCCGGCCGTCTCCCTCATCGGCCCGGCCGAGATCTACCGTACATCCGCCTCCCCTCCTCCCCCCGCCGCCCCCAAGAAGTCGGACCCGTTCATGGACCTCATGCTCGCGAACTACAACAACCCACCGCCGATGGGCGTGACGGAGAACAACTCCCCGACCTTCCTCTCCTCCGGCAACCACTGCCTCGATTTCTTCTTCCACGTCGTCCCCGACACCCCGAAAGAGAGTGTCACCACGCGCCTAGAGCTCGCCTGGAAGGAAAACCCCCTCACTGCCCTGAAACTCGTCTTCAACCTCAGGGGCGTGCGTGGCACCGGGAAATCCGACCGGGAGGGCTGCTATGCCGCCGCCCTCTGGCTCCACGACCACCACCCCAAAACCCTCGCCGGCAACGTGGGCCCCCTCGCCGAATTCGGCTACTTCAAGGACCTTCTGGAAATCCTGTTCCGGATCCTCGAGGGCCCCGACGCACGTGACCGGCTGAACGAGGCCCATCAGCGGTGGAAGATGAGGCAAGCGCAAAATGAGATGAAGCAAAAGTTCAAAGGATACAACAAATCAGTACCCCGCGGACCCTATTTCCCCTATTTCGCCTATTCCCCCCATTCCCCCTATTTCCCCTATTCCTCCCATTCCCCCTATTCCCCGAGATCCACCACCAGCGGCTCGAAGCAGAGTAAGAGAACAGGACCGAAATTGAGCCCCAAAGAGATGAAAATCGAGCGCGCCAAACGCGCGGTCGAGAAGTACAACACCGACCCCAAATACCAGTTCCTGCACGACCGCGTGTCTGATTATTTCGCCAAGTGCCTCCGCGCAGACATGGAGATTCTCAACTCCAGCGACCAACCCAAGAGACTCAGCTTCGCCGCCAAATGGTGCCCGTCCCTGTACGCCTTCTACGATAAATTCACCCTTGTGTGTGAAACAATTGCGAAAAAGGTCTTCCCGAGGGCCGATATCCCAGAATACGAAGGTTTGGGGGAGATCCAATATGCGAGTCGTGTTAGGAACCGCCTTAGAAAGGAGGTTCTCGTCCCTCTGCGTAAAGCCCTGGAGCTGCCGGAGGTCCATATAGGGGCCGGCAACTGGGGCGCCATAAAGTACAACCGCGTGGCTTCCCTTGCCATGAAAAGGTACAAGCGGCTATTCTTTAAACACGACGAGGAGAGGTTCCAAGAGTTTCTCGGGAAAGTGAAAAAGGGGGAGGCGAAGATTACCGCCGGAGCCCTGCTGCCACATCAGATAATCTCGGGATTGTATGACGGCGAGGCTGACGGCGGCGAGGTGGCGGAGCTTCAATGGAAGAGGATGGTGGATGACGTGGCGAAGCACGGGAAGTTGAGTAACTGCCTGGCGGTTTGCGACGTGTCGGGGAGTATGCACGGGATTCCGATGGATGTGTCGGTGGCATTGGGATTATTGGTTTCGGAGATTAGTGAGGAGCCGTGGAAGGGAAAGGTGATCACTTTCAGCGCGAAACCCCAGCTTCATGAAGTCAAGGGAGAAAGCTTGAGGGAGAAGACTGAGTCTGTGCAGAGGATGGATTGGGAGATGAACACCGACTTCCAGAAGGTTTTTGATTTGCTGCTTTCGGTGGCTGTGGAAGGGAATCTGAAGCCGGAGAATATGATAAAGAGGATTTTTGTTTTCAGTGATATGGAGTTTGACCAGGCGTCACTGAACCCGTGGGAAACTGATTACCAAGCGATTGTGAGGAAGTTTGGGGAGAAGGGTTATGGTGATTGTGTGCCGGAGATTGTGTTTTGGAATCTGAGGGACTCGCGGGCCACGCCAGTGCCGGCCCACCAGTCAGGGGTGGCGCTGGTGAGCGGGTTTTTGAAGAATCTGATGCAGGTGTTTTTGAAGGAGGGAGGGGTTATCAGTCCCCTGGCAGCTATGGAGTTGGCGATTTCGGGCGAGGAGTATGAACAGCTGGTTGTGTTAGATTGATTGATTTTCGACTGTCTCGTGACACGCTTTCTTGTGAAGTTTTTTTCTTTTCAGTATGAAGTAGGGTCCACAATGAATAATATGTATAGTTATCTCTCTCTATCTCTCATGGTATTGTGGTTGTCATGAGTTTAGTGTTCGTGTTTGGGATCCTTCTTGTTGGCTGTTATCGTATGCTATCGTTGCGTGCAGTACAATGGTGTCTCGAGCTTTTTCACTTGGTGCAACTGAGGGATTTGATGTTTTGAATGGTTTTCGTGAGTTTGGGGAATGATTTCCTTCCAGGTGAATTTTCATGGATATAACGTGATTTGNAAATAAAAAAATAAAAAAAAAAAAAAAATTGGAATTTTACAATTTTTACGAATTTCATGTTAATTATAATTATAAAGATGCACAATATTATGAGATTTTGCGAATAAAATGTAACACCCCCTTTTAAGACTGGTTTTAATTTTTGTTTTCGTTAAAAAATATGTAATAAGATGTATTTTTAAATTCAAATTGACAATATTATATTTATTTGAAATGATATAGCGAGAGATATCTAAAAAAAAAATAATACTTGTCTAAATTTAACACATAACTTATATGTGTTATAAAGTATGATATTAGCTCTCTCGCATATTATACACTATTTTGGCGTTTCACGAATTACCAATCATTCTCCAAAAAGACAATGTTATAAATTTATACATAACATTTTACTTGGGTAATACTTAATTACTCATAGTTTGTAATATTTATAAAGATGTAAATATACAGAATAAACTGTACACGTTTAAACTTATTTATCTAGGTTACTATTATTTATCATATATATGCCATTTCTAGTGATTAGAGCTATTCTTTTTGTATAAAAAAACTATAAATTGATCATATTTATATATGTGATGCTCATACTTATTACATAAACTAGATAAAATAGAAGAAGTAACAAAAAATTAAGGTCCTAAATTATATGAATATACTCTATCTTCATTCTTCAAAATCTATAAAAATTTTAAAATATTTTATTTACTAAATATATTTACTTGCATGTACACTTATTAGGTGTGCGGCTAATCGGACCGGTAAAAAGACGGGTCGGGTAAAAAAAACTCACCGGGTAGTCGGGTCCGATACTGAGTTTTTCTTATTAAATTCGTACTCAACCCGACCTTGTCCGCAGGTATAGAAAACAAACCCAGTTACAATCCGCGACCCAGTATTTCTGAGTTTATCCGAACCCATTTTCCGGGTTACCTGACCTGATGGATTATTTTGACAACCCTATTCAAGAGAGGCAGAAAGGGGCTTCCAGCCGCGACTCGGCCAATGCCGGCCCGAAGGCCGCTGGGGATGACTTGCCGAAAGAGGGGTGGCGACGGATCTCAAGATTTATTTATTTTTATCTTTTTTCGAAGGAGAAAGGAGGAGCGCTGGTTTTTTTGAGTTATTTGTCAGTTATGTGTCAACTACAACAAATTTTCATCGAGTCTATTATAGATTTTATTCACTTCAAATTATTTTTTACTTACGATGAACTTGGAACATAACGGACTTGAAAATTTATTGTTGTGACAAGAATGGAAATTTGATATACGAGTATAATTTATATCACTATCACTTGTATTAAGAACTAGTACGAATCTCGTGTGATGTACGGATAAGAGATATTTATTAATATTTATAAATTAAAAATTTTCATTAAATAATATTTATAAATTAAAAATATAGAATTTATATGTAATACAATGTACCTTTATTAATTTATTGTAAATGTTATATAAAATTTAAATTGTGCAAAATTATATAAAAATGTCTATTTAAAATTAGTAAACAACTCATGCGTTGCACATAACTGATAATAAATTACATTATATTCGTTTCAAAATATGTGTCATTTTAAAATTTTTATTTCAGAAATTCAATTTGACTAATACGTGCTTTTATAAAATAATTATTTTAGTAAAATTTTATCATATATTTGAAAACCTATGTGAATAATAAGTATAAATATAAAACTTATATTGTTTTATTAACTAAAATAAATTTATTTTTGTATAAAATATCCAAATCAAAAAATTTAAGTAGCTGAGTAAAAGCAATAAGTCATAAAAATTTTTATGCCAAAAAAATCGACACTCTTTATCATGCTAAAAAAATGAACAATGCAATTCACACAAAAATATTTGAAATATCGTAATAAAAAATGAATTAAATCGAGGCCCACTAATTATACAAAAAAAAAAAATGACCAGAGTTTTTCTATGAAAATAAACATTGATAAACACACATTATATCAAAATATCCGTTCATATTACTTTGTTAGAGTTACGGTAATTTTATTTTGTTAATTTCATACGAAAAGTTGAAATAAAAATTGAAATCCATGTCTAAAAACTAATAAATTGGCCTGCACATTACAGAAAAAAGTACACCGTGTATTGATTAATTTTTCATTAAATTTCCTACTAAAAAACAATGATCAAATAATCTAAATAAATTTGCTCACTTTATACCATATATTGATTAATTCATTTCCTATAAAAACAACCATCAATACCAAAAATAAATTCGTTCACTTTATACCATATATTAATTCATTCACATAATTTGAGTAATTAAAGTATCTTAAAATATGACTTAGTTACTTCCTTAAATAATCAGCCACATTTCCATAAGTGATCATCTAATATATACCATAAATTGTTAAATTAATTTCTAGAAATAGTAAATAGATTTTTTTTAAGGAAATAGTTACTATTTAAAAAATAATCAAACCTCTTTTTATATATACTAGTATGTGGTCCGTGCGATGCACGGGTAAATAATATCAAATAATAATTATAAATTGACGATATAGGTATATAATATGTATTCGTTTAGAATTTTGAGTGCCACTTTGAGATTTTTTAAGATTTTAGACTTTTAAGATGATCAAATTTTAGAGGAATACTATGAAATCTTAAGTGTGAATGTGAGATTTAGAGTGAAATTTTGTATAATGTTTTTTTCTTTTAAATTATAACTAATCTTAAAAAGACCTAACAAATTTTGATCTCAAATAAGTTAAATATTTAAGGATATTTTAAGATTTTTTTAATTTTTATATATCAAGATGAACCGCTTTTGTTACCAAAAAATGTGGACACAATTTTGAATGTACATCCCGTCCAAATATCAATTTTATTCTAAAATAAAAATTGCACGTGGTTTTATCCAATTTACACACTTTTTTTTAAAGAAAAATTATTCAATAAGATTGGAAGAATTAGTTAAGAATTATACAACTATTTGTTTACAAAATTTGTATCCAATTTGTACAGTTTTTTATCTAATTTGTATTTAAAATTATTTTCATAAATAATTGACACATTTGTTACCAAAAAATATATGATTTAAATTTTGGTAAAAAAAAAATAAAATATAATACGAAAAAAATAGAATTCAAAATTTGCTATAAGAATCTCCAAATTAATTACCAAAAAATTTTCACAAACTAATTTCTTATCCAATGATTTCCAATTTCATCCATAAGTTATAAGAACTATTAACATTTCACAAACTAGAATTTTATCCAACAATATCCAATTTCATTCATAAATGATGTGTTATCTATAAGCTATAACTGTAGTATAATCANTCAAACCCCGCTACTTGGCCGCCATGGCCGCCTCATCGACTCCCGCCTCCCTAATCGGCCCGCCCGAGATCCACCAAAAACCCTCCCCGCCGTCCCCCGTCTCCCTCATCGGCCCGCCCGAGATCTACCAAAAACCCTCCGCCCCGCTTTCTCCCGCTGCCCCCAAGAAGACGGACCCGTTCATGGACGCCATGATCGCGAACTACAACAACTTCGTGGCCCCGACCCCATCGATGATGGGCCTAACGGAGAACTACTCGCCGACCTTCCTCTCCTCCGGCAACCACTGCCTCGATTTCTTCTTCCACGTGGTCCCCGACACCCCGGCGGAGAGTGTCACCAGGCGCCTGGAGCTCGCCTGGAAGGAGGACCCTCTGACGGCCCTGAAGCTCGTCTTCAACCTCAGGGGCGTGCGGGGCACCGGGAAATCCGATCGGGAGGGCTGCTACGCCGCCGCCCTCTGGCTCCACGACAACCACCCCAAAACCCTCGCCGGCAACGTGGGCCCCCTTGCCGAATTCGGCTACTTCAAGGACCTTCTGGAAATCCTGTTCCGGATCCTCGAAGGCCCCAACGCACGTGACCTGATGAACGAGGCGCACGAGCAGTGGAAGTTGAGGCAAGCGAAAAAGGAGATGAAGCAAAAGCTCAAAGAAGACAAATCGGCCAGCGGAGCCTATTCCCTGAGATCCATCAGGGGCTTGAAGCATAATAAGACTGGGCCGAGATTGAGCCCCGAGGAGAAGAGGATCGAGCGCGCCAAACGCGTGGTCGAGAGGTACAACACCGACCCCAACTACCAGTTCCTGCACGAGCGCGTGTCCGATTATTTCGCCAAGTGCCTCCGCTCAGACATGGAGATACTCAACTCCGGTGGCCACCCGAGGAAAATCAGCTTCGCCGCCAAATGGTGTCCTTCCCTGTATTCCTTCTACGATGAACTCACCCTAGTGTGCGAAACAATCGCGAAAAAAGTTTTTCCGAGGGCCGAGTTCCCGGAATACGAAGATTTGGAGGAGGCCCACTACGCTTATCGTGTTAGGGACCGCCTTCGAAAGGAGGTGCTGGTCCCTCTTCGTAAAGCCCTGGAGCTGCCGGAGGTCCACATTGGAGCCGGCAACTGGGTCTCCATCCGGTACAACCTGGTGGCTTCTCTTGCCATGAAACTGTACAAGAGACTATTCTTTAAGCATGATGGGGAGAGGTTCAAAGGGTTCCTTGGGAAAGTGAAAAAGGGGGAGGCGAAGATCACTGCCGGAGCCCTGCTGCCCCACCAGATAATCTCGGGATTGTATGATGGTGAGGCTGATGGCGGCGAGGTGGCGGAGCTCCAGTGGAGGAGGATGGTGGATGACGTGACGGAGCACGGGAAGTTGAGTAACTGTTTGGCGGTTTGCGACGTGTCGGGGAGTATGGCCGGGATTCCGATGGATGTCTCGGTGGCACTGGGGCTATTGGTCTCGGAGATTAGTGAGGAGCCGTGGAAGGGAAAGGTCATCACTTTCAGCGAGAGACCCCAGCTTCATGTAGTCAAGGGGGAAAGCTTGAAGGAGAGGACTGAGTTTGTGAGGAGGATGAATTGGATGATGAACACCGACTTCCAGAAGGTTTTTGATTTGCTGCTTGCGGTGGCTGTGGAAGGGAAACTGAAGCCGGAGAATATGATAAAGAGGGTGTTTGTTTTCAGTGATATGGAGTTTGACCAGGCGTCACTGAACCCATGGGAGACTGATTACCAAGCGATTGTGAGGAAGTTTGGGGAGAAGGGTTATGGTGATTGTGTGCCGGAGATTGTGTTTTGGAATCTGAGGGACTCGAGGGCCACGCCAGTGCCGGCCCACCAGCCAGGGGTGGCGCTCGTGAGTGGGTTTTCAAAGAATCTGATGAAGGTGTTTCTGAAGGAGGGAGGAGTTTTCAATCCCCTGGCAGCTATGGAGGCAGCGATTTCGGGTAAGGAGTATGATAAGCTGGTCGTGTTGGATTAATGATTGATTCTCGACTGTCTCGTTTTGGTGAAGTTGTTTCAGCCTTGAAGTAGGGACCATAATGAGTAATATGTATAGATATCTCTCTCTCTTTGTATTGTGGTTGCCATGAGTTTAGTGTTCGTGTTTGCGATCCTTCTTGTTGGCTGTTATCATATATGCTGTGGTTATGAACGTGGTCTAAGTGAAGATTATATATATCTGTCATTATGTGTGATCCAACTTGTTTCATATATATGCTCTGTAGTACAACGGTGTCTCAAGAGCTTTTTCACTTGGTGCAAAGGGATTGATGTTTCGAATGGTTTTTGTGAGTTTGGGGAACGATTTTTTCACTTGGTGTAGTTGAGGGATTGATGTTTTGAATGGTTTTTGTGAGTTCGGGGAATGATTTGTTCATATTGTCATTAGCTAAAGCCTAAAAGCACATTCTTGCTTAAGTGCACCCGTGTGGCACGCATTGTTGAAGTTCATTTTTCTAGCAATGGTGTTTATATATGTGCGCATGGCTAACAACGTTTCTAATAGTTGAAGTTCATTTTTCTTGTGTGTATTATATCAAATTTTATTTCAACCATTATTTCATGTGTGTAGTTGTTCGCGCAAAATATTGTTATTATCGCAAGTGTACGATGCAGCTATAGTAAGCAGTGAACTATTTGTCGTTAAAATAACTAATTGTTTGTTGCATTCCACATAGATTGTCGTTAAAATAATTAATTATATAAAATAAACAATTAAATATTATTTAGACTAAAGCAAATTTTGATGAAGTTTTAATTGTAACCCTGAAATAACTATAAATTAATTTAATATAACAATCAACTAATAATGAAGGCTTGTCTAAATTGTGAACAAATTAAGAATGAGAAAATAGATTTTCGACTAAGTTTTCCTCGACTTATTTTACAAAATATTATATTGCCATCCAAACCTTATTTAATTCTACGAATCGCAGGATAATCGTTAAATTAACTTAATCTCTCTTGAGCAAGCTAAATTGTTAACTAATTGTTATTTATTTTCCATCATTCCAAAGATGAACAATTAACTACCACGGTTCTTAAGATTCTAATTCCTTCACAAGATTCTATCTAAACGCTCGATCTATTTAGTCTCTTATGTTATCAATTTCTTAATTTTGGTCATCAATTATCTCATATCGGTCGAAAGTCAATCACACATATGCATAAAGACGTGCACTATACTCATACAATAAATATAAGCACAAGAAATTCACATATCAAAATATAATTGAGAATGAATAAGTAAAACTATTCCATTAAATAATTTGAATTAAATAATTTGAGTATTAACAAAAATCTAGAATCACAAAGAGTTTTAGTTACTACATATTCTGAAATTTCAAAATAAATAAATATATGAGTTGAACAAAGAAGAAAAAAAGAAAAGAAAGAACTATTATCGCCGTGTAGTTCCAAATATTCAATCTTGACTCCTTTAGATCCCTCGTGCATCTTTTATTTTTCCTTAGCCTCCAAAAGTGTCAAAAGTCTCAAAACCGAGTTCTTTAGGTCCCTTTTATAATGTAGGTCGAATTCTTGTTGAAAAAGGCAAGAAATCGTGTGCCATCTGCATGAGGATCGACCAGGTTTCTGCATCACACAACTCATGTGACATAGTGCCACAGGTCATATGAGTCGTCTGTTTTATTTTCCCATAATATGCTAGTTGTTCCAACCCACACGACTCGTGTGACTAAGTGTCACAACTCACAAAGTCGTGTGAAATTACATAGACTACGACTTTCAATCTCTCCTTCACACGAGTCGTGTGGCTTCTTGTATACCTGAAACTCGTGATATTTTTATTGAATCTATTTTTAATGTCTTTTTGGCATATTTCCTTCATAAACTAATGGTAAATAATATCTCCATCATAGATTAATAAACCGAGTAAAATGGTGCAGAATCCACAATAAACACGACCAAACATATCAATCTATTAGTAAAAAATACACGTGAATATGACGCATGTCAATACTAAATTTATATTTGAATTTATGTTTTTATTTTTTAATGACTTATTGTTAAATTGGTTTGGATTAATGGAGTAAATTCAAATTAACATTTTCTATTAAGAAGTAAAAACCTCAAGAAAGGGCACTTTTGTCCTTGCATTTGTCTTGCTAGTATTTCCATTGTTTTTAGTTTAGGGCATTGTAGTTCTATTGATCAACAAAAACCCTCGTTTTTCAAGACCCGCTGACCGAATAAGCTTCAAATCAGAGAGCAGCAGCCACAGAACAGTAGCAAACAAAAAGGAACCCAAGAAAGCCCACCAATATTTACCCGTCGCTAATGGCACCCCGGATTTCTCTCAAGGCAGGGAAAGGCAAGGCCGTGAAAAAACCATCGGCGGCAGACGAGGAGGAGGGAGCGGCGGCGGTAGCGGCGAAGTTTGTGAAGGAATGGAGCACCTGGGCCATGAAGAAAGCTAAAGTCGTCACTCATTACGGCTTTATTCCTATGATTATCATCATCGGCATGAACTCGGATCCGAAGCCATCTCTGTCTCAGCTTCTCAGTCCCGTCTAAAGATCAGATTTTTATGGGTTTGTTCTTTTTAGCTTGAGGTTGTAATTTGATTTTTCCACCTATCCCTTTACGTCTATCTGTCGAATTTGCAGTTAGGGATTTTGAATAAGTGTTGATTTGGTTGACTACAATGGATTTGGTCGCGTGCTTTCTAGTAAATGCTTGTTTTACTTAGGGGCCTATTTTTACACTATGATGTTTGGATGACGCTGTGTTTGATTTGGATATGAGTACGATGATGTGTGCACTGTGATTTACATTTTCGTTTAATGTTGTCTTGTTAAAAGAAAAAGAAAAAATCTTTGTTGTGATTCAGAGGACGAGCAGGGCTGGCTTATGGTATAATATTTTTTTTTTTTTTTCAATAGTTTTTTTTTTTTGNATGTGAAGTTTGATGTGCATATTTACTTTTTGTTATTCAGGGGGCTAGCAGTGTAACTTGTTTTATAATCTTTCTAAGTTTGGTTTTAGCTATAACTTTTATGCCCGCATGAACGCCATTGATGCTGCTTATTTTTTTCTTTTTTATCTCGAATGGTAAGCATAATTTTGGTGGCTTCATTGAAAAAAGCCTTGTTTTTTTTTCTCATTTTTGATGTTTTATTGAGTTTTGATGACCTGTACCCAGCCTTTAGTTTTGGTTTGCTGAATGATGTTTTCCGCTTATGAACCCGTTCTTTTGGCTGCTAGCTAGGTTGAAATCATGGCTATAATTTGAATATATGGAGTGCAACCATACAGAAGGTTTGAAAGGAGGGTGTATATTTTCTTTGCATCTATTCAAATTCCCAGTACAAATTGTTGGTGTTTGGTCCTTAGAGGTTGGAGCCATTAAGGATTTTTGTTGCTTTTAAATTTGTTTGTGCCTAGACAGTATGTAGTGTACATCTACATAAGATTCTCATGATTTTTCTAGTTTTGGGGCCATTCATTTGCAATCAAATTGAAAATCATGTTATTGGATGTACACTTGCTTTTCCAGGATATAATGTGTGAAATATCGCGTAAAGATATGTGAATATGGAAAACATCTTTTCGACTATGGCGTATCAAATAAATTAGCAACTATAATTGTTCTGAGTTCTGACAATTCCCATTTGCATTTGCTTTTTTCATTGAAAATGCTACCTTATATCCAGCACATGTCACGGATGCAATTTTTCCGTTGTCGCTAACTCATAGATGCCGATGGAAAACATGTGCAGTTGATTTTCAGAGTCTTACGTGTATATAGTCTCTTTTCAAGTCTTTGAAGATTAAATCACCAGCTTTAGACCAACTTTACTCCCTTCTGTAGTACAGTTAGACCTAAGTTTTCGTTAATAAAGTCTCTTTTCAAGTCTCTGAAGATTAAAGTCTCTTTTGAATGCCGATGAATTTCAGAATTTTTGGTATGCTGAAACACTTTGATCTTGTTTGTGGTGTTTATTCTAATCTTAACGTGTTCTCCAGTCCTATATTTCTGTTTCTGGTTTTCTTGCCTCAGATCTGCCTGAGTAGTTGAGTTCTTTCGTTCGTTGCATTTTTCTTTGCTGCATTTTTCTTTTTCTTCCTTTTTTCTTTCGGAATTAAGGGTGCCTTCGCATACAATATAGCAGTACATTACAGTTTTGTGGCCAACTTTGCCTCAATTGTTTTGTGGTTTTAATGTGAGCATAAGCCTTCACGATTGTCTTCGTTTTTTATGATTGAGCTGTGATGTTGCATCATTTAATGGCTCGATGAAAGGAGGTTGGAACAACATTTTCTCATTAAATCAGAGGTCAAATTATCAATTTTAGGTGGCGATGAATGCGTCTCGAGTCGCTTAAGGAAGGTTAAAATACATAATGTGTGACCTTGCAAATTGTTCTTAATGACATGGCAAAGGGAGATCTTTCAAAAGTTCGAGTCAAGCATGAGTTAATAGGAGAACCACATTGATCCTCTC